CTGAGGCTCTCGTGCACGTTGCTAGATCTCGATGAGACTCAGGTAAGTATTAGGGGGGCTGGGGGGCTTCTGCGTACAGATGTTTTTTTACCTTCATGAATAGAATACTGCATTTGGCAGCTGAGAGCTCTCAAATTTCCATCGAAACTATGCATGAATGCTAAGAGTCATCTCTGAGAGGCAATGACTCAGAATCAGACTTACTCTAAGCAAACTGGACTCTGCACAAGAACCAAAGACCAGGAAAACTTTGGTAAATACTTTTTATTTTTATTCAGTATTCTGTTGCTTATGGTCTACATTTGTAATAGTGTTTTTTGTAAATATTTTACTTTGTTCTTTTCTTTTATTTAACTTCTTCCCGTCCGCTCATTGCCTTTAGACGGTGGGCGGGAAGCAGCGAGGATGCGGGCTAACATACCTGTCCATCAGTCCGCATCAGAGGCTCCTGCGCAGCTCACAGAGTGTGCACCTGGGTGCCCAGTGATCCGTGTGTCACCTGGACAAGGCAGATCACATTACCGCTCTGTCTTGGTGGTCCAATCACAGCAATCACATAGTAAACAATACCAAGTGAAAGTAAGCATCGGTTCTCTCTGCTCTCAGTGTGAGAGCAGAAAGAAGCAATGCTGCAGCCTGTAACTGTACAGCTGCCTGTCAGACTGCAGTGCCAGCCAGCCCTAGTGTCCCTAATCACTGCCTCAGTGATTCTGATCATTTTCCATAGTAGTCCTAAAAAACATGCAGTCAGCATACGTCACTTGTATCAGTGCTCACAAAAACACCTCCATACACCATACCCTTGCTTTGATCACCACCATACCAGCACCATGATCACTGCTATAGGCCATACCAGCGCCTTTATCCCCGCTACAGACCATGCCAGCGCCTTGAACACTGCCATACCCCATACCAGTATCCTGATTACTGCCCACTAGGGACTACCATAGCAGCGTTCTGATCACCCCATATGCCATACCAGCATCCTGACCACCCCAAATGCCATACCAGCATTCTGACCACATCCATAGACCATACCAGTGTCCTGATCACCCCATAATGTCCTGATCCCCGTCATACCCCATACCAGCGTCCTGATCACTGCCATACCCCATACCAGCGTTTTGATCACCCCATATATCATACCAGTGTCCGGACCACTGCCATAGACCGTACCAACATCCTGATCACCGCCATACCAGCACCCCTATCAACACTATACTCCATACCAGCGTCCTGATTATGGCCATACCAGAGTTATGATCATCACCATACCTTATGGCAGGGGTGGGCAACTGTGGCCCTCCAACTGTTGTAGAGCTACAAGTTCCATGAGGCATTGCAAAACTGACAGTTACAAGCATGACTCCCAAAGGCAGAGGCATGATGGGACTTGTAGTTCACCGACAGCTGGAGGGCCACAGTTGCCCACCCCTGCCTTATGCCAATGTTCTGATCACTACCATACGTCATAACAGCGGCTGGCATTTTAGGGTTTCAACTAATCAATTTTCAGATATGTATCTCATAGTCTGTAGACTCTATAACTTTAACCCAAAACAGTGTATATTATTTAGTCTGTGTGAATGTGCGATTTCTACCCAAAAATGTAAAAGAATACATTTTGGCCTAAATTTATAAAGAAACATTATTTATTTGCAAAATTTAAAACAAAAACTAAGCAACAAAATAATTTATATATATATTTTTTTTCGTTTATATATCAAAAAAATGATACAAATTTAATTTGGGAACAGTGTTGCATGACAATTGAAGTTTTTCTGGACTTCAGTTTGCAAATGTAAATAAGGGTCGTGGTGCTATCTTAGTGATCACTGCCTCTGATATATGTTATCTGTTCCAGAGAAAAAAATTAGGGGAATAAAGCACACCATTCATGTTCACTAATAAACTTTTTAAACTGTTTAAAATCAAATCACTTTGAATTACTTTATGCTGGGCATCCTAGGGAAGGGCTAGATAGTGCAAAAGAAACTATTTCACTGATGTAAGATTTTCACTTTCATGCCCCTTGTTCAGGAACATAAGGAGTAAGCTCAGGAATCACAGAGAAGGATTTATAATAAGGGTGCCAGTCAGTAGCCTTTTCCTGGAGGATTGAGAACAAGTGCTGGTGTCCACAGTTAATAGTATATTCATATCTAAATGGCAACGCACCTTTAAAATCATCAAAAATGTAGGTAAATAAACTTCAAAGTCCATCAGCCATGGCAAGAAAGCCCCAAATACCCAAACTATCCGTCACAGAAGAAATAAGGTAAATGCTAGAATTGGGAGTGATATAGGAATCTCATGGTGACTGGTCAAGTCCAAAAGTGCTAGTTCTGAAACCAGATGGAAGTATAGTATATTTTGATGATATCAGCAAGTTGAATAGCATGTCCAAATTGGATGCTTTCCTAAATTCATCTTGGAAATTGCCCAATATATAACCACTTGAGATCTCAAAATAGTTACCTAATTACAATGTGAAGATCTCAGATCACACAAAAGGCAACTGGCAAATACCTAGAGAGAGGTAATAGAGAATGGTGGATAAGATTTTTGCTAATACACAGCATCTTATCTGGATGATATACAGTAGTCATCCACAGCCCAGACTAAGAATCTAATCTGCCTCAATTGCAAGTGGTGGTGGACTCCCTCAGAAAAACAGGGCTCACAGTAAACCCCCAAAAACGTTTCTCCATAGGTTTGTAGGAAGCCAAATACCTGGGCTACATCATTGGTCCAGGCCTGATGAAGCTGCAAATCAACAAAATTTAAGCAAATAAAAAATAGACCATTCTATAAATAAAGAAACAGGTCAGCATTTCTGTGGATTACAGGCTACTATCAATGCATTATTTCCAATTTTGCTTTCATTGCAACCCCACTGACAGGCCTCACCAAAGGCAAAAGGTCAGTTATGATTAAATGAACACTGGATGCTAAAAACACATTTCAGACTGTAAAACCAGCTTTGTGCTTAACCACTGTCAGGTGACACCTGACTTCACAAAAGTGTTTGAGGTGGATGCCTCTGAGGTGGGGTGGTCACAGTACTTTCCCAAATTAGAGATGGGAAGGAGCAACCTGTAGTGCTACTAAGTAAGAAACTTAAAGTACATGAGAGAAACTATACCATTTTGAAAAAAAAATGCTTCACATTGATTTGGAAGCCCTCAAGTATTACCAGTTGGGTAGACAGTTTTCATGCTCCCCTCAAGTGGATGTGTAAAAATAAGGAAATAAACAATCAGGTGGCAGGGTGCATCTTGATACTTCAAGCATTTAGGTTTACAGTTGAACACAGACCTGAAAAACATTACAACAATGTGATGCCATTTCTTGTGTCTATTCCCTTAGGTCACAGTTGTTCAACTTTGGTGGTCTGAGCAGAGCTGATTATGTGACATAACAAAGAAGAGACCTTTGAGGGGAGATACATTTCCCCATGTTTTCTGTCCAATGTGAGAAACAGGGTTTGGATTCTACATAGTGTATGTTCTGATTTGGTCCTGGTTTTGATCCCACCAGGTCTGGGGCAGAGATGGAGCTCTGGTCTGGGACACAGGGAAGCCATCTGTGAGAGCTGCAATGGAGTCCTTAAAATTCTGTGAGTAAAGGTTGCTGGAAACAGTATATTGTTTTGAGGTGGCTAGGAACAGCTCACTAATAGTTAGAGAGGAAACTCTGTGTTTAGCTAGTGTCTGTCTGGCAAGGGTGTATTTTCTGTTTAATTTTTGTTTTCATCTTTGCAACTTTTTGGTCCACACAGGCGTACTTAAAGTGGTACTAATTGCTATAGTTATTATTTCTTTAACATAAAAAAGAGGTCATACTTTCCTACTCTGTACAAAAATATTGCACAGAAATGTCCCTTACCTCCTCTTCTGGCAGTCCCCCACCTGCGCTGTCAGCTTCTCCTTCCTCTGGGTGTCTCTTTAGCAGATTGGTTGCTATGGAGGCATCCATGCCTGCACTCCTAAGCTGGGCTGTGTGCATCCAAAGATACATACAGCACCAGTAAGTCACACCTCCACTCCCTCCTCACAGGAGTCTGACTGACAGGAGCAGGAACGTGAGGCCTCGGTGCCCTCGGTGTCTCCTGTGAGACCAGGAAGTGACAGGAGCAGTGCTGCAGACAAGACAGTGCTAGCGTGGTGACAGGAGCCAGGTAAGTATTTAGGGATTGGGGTGGATAAGCCAGGTACTGGGGAGTTTTAATGCATTCTCTGCTGTAGAGGGAAAAAAACATTAGAATTCAGAACCACTTAAAGTGTACACCCATGTGAGTGCCCTGCTTTGCCTGCACAGGATGCACTGCCAACATCCACATGCAGGTAATCCATTTCTTGTCAATCGGGATGCAGCGACTGCACGAGCACAGCTGCTTCTTCTAATTTTGCTCCACAAACAGAGCAAACCCTTGAGATATATATATAATTATATATATATACATACATACATTAATTTTTCAGCAAAAAAAATATTTTGTAAACGGCAGCTTTTGGAAGTAGTTGTATTTTGTAAAGTTGCTAAATGTACTTTGAGGTTATTCTCTGATTTATACATATATAACAGACAGCACTGGCATTTTTATATGGATATACAACACTCGGATAATAGCAATTTTTTTTTGTACCTGCCAACCCTCCCCACTGGTGCTACCACTCTCTCTAATCCGTTGGCACACTTTACATCAGCTCCCTGTCTGCTCCTCTTGTTTCAGGATTTGCAGTCTGGGGAGAAGATTAAATAGAATCGCTTGATCACAAATTAATCTGTTATCTCTGCATTACACCCTTTCCTCCTCCTCTCTCTTCTCTTTTTCTCTGCTATAATAACATTTAACAGAATCCCACTGGCTGTCTCTGGCTCCTGTCCAGGGACCTGTCTGTGTGACGCAAGCAGAGACTACTTAAAGGGAGATTACCGGCAGTAAGACAGTGTGAGCAGCCTTCCCGAGCAGGGACACCTCTGATCATCACGCAGAGATTACACTGAGTATAGGTCACCTACACCCTGTGGCTTCCCCTGGAGAAGGTGAAAAGCCTCCCGTTGCACCAGGTCTCCGATGTACAGCGATGGGAGAATGGACTATATTAGAAAGACTTCTGGAGGCTGCTGTGCAACAGCACAGTACTATGATAGGAAGGTAAGAACGCTTTTAAAACTAGAAATATACAGACTTTGCAAAGTGTAGTTTAGGCCAGGGTATACTCAGGCTAACAACTCAGAATGCAGCAAGGCAGACAGAACAATTGTGATGTGAATAAAAACAGTAATGTTGTTTTTAAATCACAAGTGCTCCTCATTTCTTTTTTTATACCATGTTGTTCTACACTGTATTTATACTTTGTACAGCTCCTGGTAATCGCTTTCCAATGGCTAACATAAATAAATGAATGAGCAGTGATAGGTATCTGAAAGTATTAGCCGAAGTAAAAATACAAACCTAAATGCATGTTGCATTTTCCTTGACATATAGCGGCAATCTGCTGGAAAGCAGGATTGGTGCCAGACCCCAGTACATAGTGACAACTCTGCCTGAGATGTGATTGATGTTTCTCATTATTATGAGGTGCATATGGCAAATAACATCAGGGGCTGGTGTGTATCAGCTGGGGATGCAAAAGGCAAAGCTCTGATGTGGAAAGTTTATTCAACAGAAAAAAACAGCCGTCTGAAAGATTTGTATAACTGTACAGTGTAGGAAAACCAGCTTCATTCATATTTCACATAGTGCACTTGTACCAAAATATTTATTCGTATTACACATGGTTTAGGCATTTCATTAGCTACAATCTACAGTTTAGCTTGTTGGTGTCTTTTAGTTCCTGTATTTGAATCTACTAGTGACCTACAAATGAAAGGGTTGAGGCTTTACCCCCCCTCTTTACCTGTCTAACTTGGGTATTATACACCGTTTAACAAATGAACAGTACTGTAATATGAAACTACCAATAAACTACCATGAAATGTGTAAAAACACACCACAATACCGGTTATTCTACCAAAAATGATAACAGTACAACCATGTAATCATAAAATAACAGTCTACTGCAAAAACTAGAATGCCTGTGAGGTTTACAACATCTGTAATTAATAGATAATTAAAATATTGAGCCTTAATTAAGCTACAACACAGTTTTTCTGCCCATAAATTCATATACGTTAACAATTTGTAGTGTGTTTAAATTCAAATACTACACACACTCATACAAACTAAGGAACTTGTTATAATGTGTTACTGATTAGCAAGTAATTTACCGCATACGGTACTGTAAGTGGGCTGCTCAATAAAGCCCTAAAATATCAATAACAATGTTAAAGATCAAAATTAAGTTATACAGATCTTAAAACAAAGTACAAATTTAACAAAAGCAAGACAGAGTAGCCTGTAATGTACCAAAATGGAAATATATAGCAGAAGCTGTCTAATGATTCTGAAGTGAAAAAACATAAACCAAGTCAACATCTTGCAATCACAGTCTATGCCAGTGTTTGTGAAATCACAGGATTGTGATCTAAAGTTTGGCAATGGCAAATGTTCATATTAGCAAAGTAAGATCATTATACCAAAACTAAAAAAAATAACTTTCATCCATTTCTGTTAAAGTAATAGGTTTATGTGCAGCCTGCATACGCTGCTTAGCTGTTTGCAAAAGTAATGCTCATTTACATATAAAAAGGAAAAAACTAATAACGAAAACAAATGTGCAAATACTTCACAAATGTCAATATAGATTAAAAAAAGTTAAGAATAAAAATAGTAAAAAGTACATCATATTTCTCCATGGCAGTGACAGGGTGCACTGGATGTACAGCCAATCAGGAATCCCCTCTAGGAAGAAATTCAGCACTGGACAGCTCCTCATACACATCAATGTGAAAGGACAACCTTTCTCGCAAAGAAAGATGCTTGGAAAAAAGAAAATATCCCATGGCCAATTATCCTGACCAAAAATATCCAAACCCCTTGCCTGGGGTGCCACATTGTCATATCACTGCTGTCACATCATCTTGACCCTTTAATTGCCAGAGGGTCCTGTCATGTACTGCCACTACACTGCTAGACTTTCTGGTGATGAAAGTGTTAAGGAAGCAGCTGGATTTCATAAATTAGGAATCACATATCAAACTGCAAGGACAGAGTTCATCCCTTCAGCTCGCATACCCTGGCATGGGCAAAGAATAACATAACAGTGTCATCGGCTTGTTAGAGCCACAGCTTTTATCAACACTGTTTCCCTGTGCTTTGCATGTAATGACATTTTAAGTGTTCACATCCTAGATCTCAGTAACAGCTGTCAACAATTTTATGAAAGCAACAATTATTTTGGTTGTGTATAATTTAAAATCTGACACCGAGACCAAAATGTATTTTGGTTATTCAATTATACAAATAAAGAACTGTCTGTGTTGCACATAGCACTCCCATTTCTTTACCCATTCTAATCAGCAAGGAAAGAGAGGAATTAAATGGTTACTTGGGGGAACAGTTTCTTTTAGACACCGGTTATCAATATACTGACAATGATTTGATTCATTGCAACTTAAATTGCTAGAAATACATTAGCTTATGGAATTTATGTGCATTTAAAATCACAAACTTCAGTTATTACACATGCTGCATGCAATGTTGATATCAAAATATCTTGATGTCAAAGTAGAGGCTATGAAAAAAGTTTTCTATGCTAGCATAGGTGATTCATGTTTGAATGTTGCTTGTTAACAAACGTCTAAAAATAGCACTGTTAATATATCATGCATTTCTCATGCATTTTATGTCATCCCAGAAGCTAACCATAAATCACTAACAATCACAAGCCAACAAAATGCTGATGGTAACTGTAGTCGATATACTAAAACAGTAGCCATCTGTACATGTCTTAGACATTATGTACTACTAGCAAACTGTATTCTAAGATGGGCAGTGATCAATAACCTTCCCTTAGCCATTTCTGCTGACATGCACAAGCATATTTAATTATTTTTCTACGTACAGCTGGTGCTCTCTGCATTAAATGGAACCTAATGTGGCTAAGCCAATATAAAAAAAAAAATGAAATGCTGAAGCCAAATATATCCTAAAGTAGAAAAGAAAGAGGAGGTTTGATTTAAAAGTTGCTATCACTGCATTCTTGGCCACACCGATATGCATTTTCACTAGAACAGCAAGACTAACATATTGCATTCTCTTTCAGGATTCTGCTGACCGTGGTTGTCATCTTTAGAATACTCATTGTTGCCATCGTAGGAGAGACTGTTTATGATGATGAGCAGACCATGTTTGTTTGCAATACACTCCAACCGGGGTGCAACCAGGCGTGCTATGACAGGGCTTTTCCAATCTCTCATATCAGATACTGGGTGTTCCAGATCATTATGGTCTGCACTCCAAGCTTGTGCTTTATCACTTATTCTGTGCACCAGTCTGCTAAACAGAGGGAAAGGAGGTATTCCACTGTATATCTCACCTTGGACAGAGACCAGGATACTGTGAAAAAGGGAGGACAGCAAAAAAATCAAGAACACGCTGGTTAATGGTGTCCTTCAAAACACAGAAAATTCTACCAAGGAGGCTGAACCAGATTGCTTGGAGATCAAGGAAATTCCCAACCCCTCAATAAGAACCACAAAATCCAAAATGAGGCGTCAAGAAGGAATCTCTAGGTTTTATATAATTCAAGTGGTCTTCAGAAATGCCCTGGAGATTGGCTTTCTTGTAGGACAATACTTCCTATACGGGTTTAATGTGCCCTCTCAGTATGAGTGTGACAGGTATCCATGCATCAAAGAGGTGGAATGTTATGTTTCCAGACCCACAGAAAAGACGGTGTTCCTTGTTTTTATGTTTGCAGTCAGTGGCCTCTGCGTTGTTCTTAACTTGGCAGAGCTAAACCACCTAGGCTGGAGGAAAATCAAGACGGCAGTCAGAGGTGTACAGGCCAAGAGGAAATCCATTTATGAAATTAGAAATAAAGACTTGCCCAGGATGGGAGTACCTAATTTTGGAAGGACTCAGTCTAGTGACTCTGCCTATGTTTGAGGATGTTTGAAAAACAACAGATACAAACTGGGCCCTTGTAGCCTGAAAAGAAGGGGTAGGTGTCCGAATAATGGAATATGCCCTTGGACATGATTGCCATTGCACTGAAGGAATGTGCTGGCTGGTAAAGTTATTATCAATCAGTACCATTTGCCAGGGACTTAATTGGAAGAAGTTTGTGCCCTGGTATCTGTTACTCATATTGTTGCAGTACGATGTTTGATATTATACCCCTCCAGACATGCATTACAGAATCTCTCTTCGATAGACTCCTGCACATTTCAGTCACCAATTTTGTGGTTACTTTGCTGTATACAAGCTACAGGCTATGTACAGTGTAATGACATAGCGTGCTATGGCTGCTACAGGAATAAGAGAGAAGCACTAAAGCCTAATGATAGGCACATGGTGGCTGTTCACAGATACTGCCAGGATGTATTTGGAGTTTACAAAGCAACAACAGTTTTTCAACCAATTAAATAATTACATCGCCACTCCATTCTACAAACAGTGCTATGTGTAGAGGTATTATAAATAACTAATACTGCCAACTATTCCTCGTTCATGCATTGAAACCACTCTCAAGTAGGTTCACTAGAGGAGAATTACTGGCATTTAAAAAAAATAATATAGCAATTATGTTATTCTGTTGAGCAGATTAACCAAAGAACAATACACTTCTTGATGATAATCCGCTCAGTAGAAAAACAATAGACAGTTTCATTTACTGACATGATTAAAAATGAGTAATTGTCATCTTATAACTCTTCTGAATCTATACTGATAATTTCAATGGCCCCTTTTTTCACTGAAGTTGAGAAGAAGCTTGCATTTGTCTATGCCACAGTTCTGACAACATATACATAGTTTCATAACACCTTCTTCAGACAAGATGCTTTCCTCTCTCTCTCAATTATCCTGCCAGCAAGCACATTTAAAACAAGGTGAAATGAATTTTAAAGTAGATCTCAACCTAAAACATTTTCTTTAGCTTATGATAAAGTGGAATAGGGTCCAATCCCCCATGAAATCTTTACTGATGTCCGTGACCGCAGTGGGGAGGCTAAATGACTGTGGTTGGAACTTCCTGCTCCTGTCTAGAATTCCAGTAAGAATTCCTGTGGAGAATCACATACAGGGACATGAACACCCGCGCTATGGAGTCTTGGCCCCCTAGTGGTTTTTGACAAAGATCAACTGGGACTGGGGGTGGGCAGATCACCAATTAAGATTTGCAGGCAGCAATAAAGACTTCTGGGGGATCAACCCTGCATCTACTGAAAAATAGAAAACAGGTTTTTAGGTGGAGTTCTACATTAGATCACTTTATGCCTCAAAGGAGGCATACCCTGCTGCTTGCATGCTATACACAGACCTCACAGTCTAAGCCACATACCTGGGATGCTAAGGGAACTGATAACTTGAAGGGACTTTAGGGGCTTCCGGTGTGGTTTCTTAAGCATGTGTCCTATTGCATGTTGAACTTTTAGCCTTTCTGCTTGTGTTTGCACCAGAATAAGAACCCTATATATCATTTAACAAATTATTGTCTTAAACAAAAAAGAGATAATATTTATTTTGGCATATACAGAAAACATGCCTCAAAAAGGTGTGTAATTGCCTTTATATTGTAAAAAGAGCAAATTATATATTTCTCCAAATCATAAGATATAATGCAACCTTGAGGTTGACTACAGTGCAGTTTAGAAGTTCCATTTACATTAAAAATATATGCATTTTTAATTGCACAGCTCTGTAAAACGCATCTTAAGATGTGATTAAAAGAAATTTCAAACCCAGCATTAAAATCATCTATAAAAATGTATGCAACTGTAAAAAATGAACACACTTTATTCCTTTAACTGTCCATACTTGCTAACACTTGCTCATTAATGCAATATAGAAGTTTTTAATTGATCAATACTAGACGCTGACTTAGAACACATTTAGCTGTATCACTTTAATGGTGCAATTCTCAATGACCTTGAGACAGAGAATGCTTAGTGTGGTGTCCTGAATCCCCAAATATGGGTTGTGCTGAGGACTAAATATTTCTTGAAGCATTCTTTTTGTGAACACAGCCACAAATTCAGGGATAAAAGACATTAATATGTCTTCGTTGCCTCTAAAAACAGCAAAGTATTGACCTACATAATCTGAATTGGTCAGATGCACTGTGATTAACCCCTGTGCTGCTACGTACATAACTACTGTATTTCTAAGCAAGCATGCAAGAGCAGAGAAAAGTGTTGTTTCCCAGTCTGCTATCTTGTTAGACTACTTTTCATGGTGAGAATTTGTTGTGACAGCATCTACTATATGGAGTTGTTACTGGAAGATCAAATATGATCAAAAACTTCCTTTGTTGCACCATATCAACAAAACTAAAGTGTGTTTTGTACAGTGTTTAGGTCACTTGGCCACTAGTTGCCTACTATGGACTGAGACACTTGGAACTGAGATGTTATAAAGGGCCAGAGTGAAAATGGAAGAAAAAAACTGTATGGCAAGCTTTAACCAGATTTAAAATGAGCCATGTTCTACCTGCAGCAGGCACAGGTGTGAAAGAATAACTTGGACAAGCATTGCATTTTTGTCCCCATCAAAAACTAACATAAGCAAGGATCATCATGTATAAATATTTAATCACTGACTTGCATGCCTAATTTAATCTGTATGGAAACCCAACAGTTGTTTTTTTGTTTTGGATTGAGTGCTGATAGGTTAGAACCTCCTTCAGGTTTGTATTGCTGGTCTTGTTAACCATTTTTACTGTGAGTGAAAGTAACTTGAAATGCAAAATTATGAGTTGTCACTGAAACAGGAATAGAGTGATAATCTTCCAGTTGGGCCACTTGTTCTAGTGACAACTGTCGAAGAGGGGATTTTCTATACTTCCTAGTGTGTCTTCAGAACAGGAAGTGAAGATAAATTTCCCAAATGGTTCATAGGAGGCAAATAAAAACCAGAAAGGGGCTTTATCTATTCCTTACTGTGTCCAATTCTTTAAAAAAAAATTGGCTGAAGTTTCCCTTTAAACCTAAAAAAATGTAGGGACCATGACTCTTTGAGGTGGATTTACTAAAGGCAAATAGTATATTCACTCTGTAAGTAGTTGCTCCTGAGTTTGGTAAAGGAGGAGAAGCTCTGCTGACTTTCATCATCCAATTGTGTGCAAGCAAAAATGCCATTTTTATTTTCCTGGCATGTGATTGGGTATTCTTTGCAAAGCAAAGCTTCATCTCATTTACTAAGCTCTGGAGCAACTGCACTTGCAAAGTGCACCGTCTATTTGCCTTTAGTAAATCCACCCCTTTGTGCGTTTTGGCCATGGGTTGTATTACACCAAGAGCATATGAAATTGAACAATCTTGCATTTAAGGTCTAGTTTATTGTAAAATAAAACTATCTTATCTGAGCTGGTTAACCTGATCTAAAAGACATAAAGCAAAGAAAGACAGCCTTTGACTTTCCACTTATTTCTACTTACTAGTTTCCATTCTCTGTAAACATGTTCTTGTGTTAGATCACGATCTATGAAAGCACCTTTTAACACAAACATGATACAGAGTTGGCTTTCGGCTAATCTCCTCATCCATTTTAGTGCCAGAGTAGCGTGCTGGCTCATGTGGGAAACAGCTGGATGGTTCAGTGACTCTCTCTTTAACTATTCATTGTTTCTTTGTAAAATTTGCCACTGAGTGTATGCCTGTTTTCTTTACCACAAACCTTAACTTTTGCGTGCACCTTCAGTAGAGATCAAGTCACCTCTGTGTGACACCTGTAGAGCCAGAGGGATTTTGTGCATTGTTCTGTGATACAGTGATACACTGACAATGCTAAATAGAACTTGGAATGGATTTGGCATCCCAAATATGGGTAGAGAAGCTTTACTGCTCTTTAAGAGAAAAAAAAACAGCACAGAGAAAAACACAATAGCAAGCATAAACTTTATAGCCCCAAATTGGCTTCACTTTTATTTTCTAAAGTAGCATTAGAATTGTGCCTGATCTAATAAGACTATTAACATGTGCCCTTGTGCTTATATTAAGTGCATATTTTTGGCACGCTATAAAACAAAACTGTATTTTATACATATAGAAATGTAATATCTAAACATAAGCACAAATTGTAAAAAAAATATGTTTGCTCCTTCAATAGACCAGTGTAAAATATGTTTTAAAGGTTTTGAAACTAAGGATAAGCACATTGACAATCTCAGGCTATAAACACAATAGCGTTGCTGCTTATGTGCTATGTGCATCACAATCAAGTGGTAAATGGGTAATTTAGTAAATATGTAACATCTTGCAAACAGTAATATTACACAAGTACAGGTGGTTCTTTTTTTATGGTCAGTCCTGTAGTTATCCAGTTACTTATTGCCAAATACTGAGCTCTGTTTTGTTGTTCTCTAAAGAATGAATGTCCCCTGTTGGATAGAATTCTAGAAGAAGACTCTAGAAGGGGTGCTCATGTAAGTCCTAAAAATTTTAGGGAAATATTCAGATTTGCAAGAAACAGACAATCAATTCTTGTAGCACCTTCAGGGCAAAAAGTAGGCAAGGTATCCAGACTAACAACTGAAAGAAACTATAGATAGAAAACAGAGTTTGCAGATTCAAAGCATTACAATCAATTTACCCATCAGTAATATCCAATTTTCAGATTGTAGCACCTTGACTTTTTATGGGTTTTCTGTGCACTCCTAAGAAGAAAATAATAGTTGATAGTGGAATTGTAAATTTAGTATCATCGCCGTCACGAAGCCTTTAAAAAAGCTTACGCTCAGGTGTACAATGATGTAAACCTGCAGCTGGTTTTGCAGATGGTATTAAAGCAGAACTCCAGGCAAATGTGTAACTCCCTTTAATCCCACTATTCAAATTCAAAGGTTTTAAAATGTTTCTTGAATACTACTGTTATAATGATCGACAATTTACAAAATCATTCTACACTCCAGTGAAGCAGTAGGTGGTAGGTTCAGCACTGTGAGACAA